CTTTGCCAGATGGCAGGCTGGGCATGTACTTTGTTTGCAGGGTGTTACGCTTACAGCAGCATCTCCCTAGAAGGATAGTTTAGCCACCCAGAACTGAAATTAACTCTGACCAAAATACATAGAAGGCAGCCCAGATTTTGCAAATGCAGTCAAAGGGAAACTTTCTCATCAAGAGGCCTCATTCTGGGTGATTTATTACTTTGATTTGGGTATATTGTATTATCTATAAATAATCGCTCACACCGGACAGCATGCTAATTATATAATGCAGCGATTTAGAAATAATACATTATTTAGCATTTCCTTAAATTGTTTCAAACCCCTGTTAACACTCTGCCGTAAATGGAGTGCAACTGGTGACTTCTGAGAGTTAATTTGGTGCAGTTCAGCAGTCATCTGGATATCCAATCTAGCTAACAATCCATGTGTCCTATGTAAGCCCAACACTGAAAGGAGCCAGACAAGAAATAACAAATGCTGGCACAGATGCGGAGAAAAGAAAATGCTTGTCCACTAATGGTGGGAATGTAAATTGGTGCAGAAGCTATGGAAAACAGTATGGACATTCCTCAAGAAATTAAAAACAGCACTACTATACGATCCCACAATCCCACTCACTTGTGGGTACATATCCCAAGGAAACAAAACCATTATCTTGAAGAAATATCTCCACTCCCATGTTCAGTGGAGCATTATTCACAATAGCCAAGATATGGAAACAACCTGTGTCCATCAACGGATACGTGGATCAAGAAAATGTGGTATACACAATGGAATATTATTCAGCCTTAAAAGAATAGACGATCCTATCTTTTGTGACAACATGAATGAAACTGGAGGGTATTATGCTAAGTGAAATAAGCCAACATAGAGCATAGTATCACTTACATGTAGAATCTTAAAAAAAAAATGTTGAACTCATAGAAACAAAGTAGAAAAGTGGCTGCCAGGGGATGGGGGTGAGGGGAATAGGGAGAGGTTGGCAAAAGGATACAAACTCAGTTCTAAAATGCATAGGGCCTGAGGATCTAATGCATAACTGGTGCCTATAGTTAATAATACTGTAGTGCCTAAGTGTAATTTGCTAAGACAGTAGAACTTACATGTAGTCACCAAAACAAAACACAACAAAATGAAACAAAGCGAGTAGATAGGTGATGTGATGGATGTGGTAATTAACTCAATGAGGGGAATCCTTTCACAGTGCAGTAGACATAAATCAAATCATTATGCTGTACACTTTAAATATCTCACAATTTTATTTGTCAATTACATCTCAATAAAGCTGGGAAAAAAGGTACTGGATCTTCTTAAATTATTACAGAGGTATGAAAAACAACTGATTTATCATATCAATCATAATTTCTTTTCTTTCCACAATTATGTAAATTATTTCAGAATTCACATGGGCTTTCTGAAATTATAAGCCAAATTAAACTTATAAAATATTTATCTTACCAATTAACATTTAAGTCCACTATAAAGTCTGAAATTTATTTAAGACATTTTGGGTAGAGAGGGATAAGAGCCAAATGGATAAATTAGGGTTAAAATACATGTTTGGCCTTTTATTTGTACCTAAATCTGGTAAAAACCTTATTTTGTGACATTTATTTCAACCAAAGAGACCAAAGGTTTCTGAGCAAGCTATGCATGGAATCTTGGTGATTTCTGAAGTTTTTAGAACTCTATTTTTCTCCCAATTTTGATCTGCAAGAAAAACAAATGGCCATTTTTCACCAAAGGATATCAAACCACTTTTAGAACTAGGAAACTGATCCCTGTGCAAATCTTCAATAAGCAATACAAGAGTAATTACAGTAATGCAAGTTCAATGCAAAGAATCATGAATTGTTTTGTTTTGGTTTTTTAATGAAAGCTCCCATTAGTTTCCACTGTAAGGTCTGCTACAAAATGGCAAATATGTTATAATTCTTTGCCATTATAAACCACCTTTAATGTCACTAAGTCAATGTAGACCCATGTAAATTATAGCTTGGTTAGAGGTGTATTAAAACAATTTTTAAAACCCCCTGCAATTTCAAGCTTTACATGCTACATATTTGTCCCTTAACATAAACTGACAGAACATGGTTTTTAAGAGTCCCACATAAGTGTTAAAAAAAATTTCTTTCTCAATATACTCAAATCTACATGTGAAAATTTCAAAACAAATGAATTTTTCAATCATCTAGCATTTAACCATTCAAAATCAAAGATTTTCATGAGCATTTCTCAAAGCTGAATTCATTAAGCAATTATGCATCAATGTCACTGACAGAAGTAGCCTAAATTTCTGCACTAATACTATGCATTTATTATTCTGATTTTTATTAATTCTAATTTTTACAGAGTGCAATTTCTTTCATCCTTGGGGCTAAGCTTATTTACAGAATAAACCATACAGCAGATCTACATAAGCTAAAATGTGCCAAAATGGGCACCACTGCTCCAATTCTAAATTTTATACTATTTTTAGCTTTTTATTTTAAATTTAAACATCAAAAAAACCTTGCCCCATAATAGTATTAACTAGATTATTTTTTCATATTTTCAATCCAAAACAAAAATCAACCAAGAAATTAGCTAACAACTATATTTCTGAAGTACAATTGGGACATATTTGACAACAGGCAAATGTCTAAGTTTCACAGAAAAATACTACCTCTATCAAAGCATTTAGAGATCAAGATATCTGATGTGTTAGGTGAGCGAACTAAATGCCTTAGTCAGTTTAGTGTCTGCAGCAAATTGACATCAGTAAGGTTTCCTAAAGAGCTTAACCTAAGAGGGCAGAGTCCACACTACCCTCATTTCTTCACCTAGTGCCATGAATCAGGGGCTCGGGAGATGCCGGTTAGGTGTCTGCAACCCAGGCCCCAGAATGCACTAATGGGAATCCCAAGAAAGGATCCTTTGGGAAGGGACCCATTTCCTATCTAGTTTCAAACAGGCAGGAGTTTCCCCAGCAGAAGTGATTAATACTGATCCTGTTGGGTGGCAAATGAGCCTGGCAAGTAACATGGTAGCAATTTTGTCACCCAGAGAAAAGTAAGGGTGAGTCCACAGATGTCTTCTTAAGGTCAATGACTCATAACCAACTGGCAGACCACATACTGGCAAATGGAAGCATGGAAGGGGAAAAGAGGCACCTCTTAATGCCTCCTTGGCCTTGAAGCCAGGGAGAGATAAAAATGGCACTTAATCTTATAAAATTCCCAACTACTGAGCTTCTCAAAGGAAGGTCTGTGGAGGATGCTATGTCCAAGATCTGTTGTTGATAGTCCACAGGAGGGAAGTACAGACTGAGAATAAGCATTTTGAAGGAGTAATTTTTACAGCTGTTGAATTTATTAACTTAAAAAATCTTGTGTTTTGTGTATCTCTTTTTCACTTCATTTTTCTAGTAACTGGTTCTTACTGTATTTTGTATAAAGTATCAATCCAGAATGAATTGGAAATGAAAAACAACAACGAGGTCCTTTACTGTGGACAGTTTGAGAAGCACCACACCAAAGCACCCAAAAGACAGTTTTGTGTGGACAGTGTGCATGTTATGACTGCAAGGGTACTGATTTGCTGCAGTCATCTCTTCAGTTATGTGAATATTAAGGTTCTTCAGAAGCAGGTAATTGAGCTCGTGTGTACTACACTACACTAAGCTCCTCTGATTAACACCTGAATTAATCGAGAGATATTTGAATTGTGGGCTAATGAGATACCATATAATCAAAACGGTTCCAAGGAACCGTGATATTAATTAACATGATTCCCTTGGAAAAGAGAAGTTCTGTGGTCAAACAAGTTTGAGATATACACTCCCTCCCAGAGCCCCTCCTGGGAAGTCGTAACACACCTCAGCGTATCAAGGATTCTGAGGCGGCCTATAATTAAAAGTGTTTAAGTGCACAGATGTGACTCTCTTTATCTAAACACATATCTTCTTCAGAAAACACAATTTTGGAAATACTGGTACAGTCAAAAGACTCCAGATCAGCAATCAAAAACACCCAAGGGTTACTTACTAGCTATTTATTGTCTTCGTTTGTACATGGATCATGCTACCCAGCTCCCACTGAGCTCCAGCACCAACGAGATGATGACATAAAAATCACATCATGCAGCTCCTTGAGGGCAAGGAGTTGGCTCCCACTCTGCAGCCCAACCCACACAACATGCTCAGCAGTTACTCAGCTATTCCCTAGGGAATGTTCCAGGGTGTCTCATCACTCCTCAAACCCAGGATGGCTCATTTTGTGGGCCACTCCCTCAGAATTCTGTGTCTTTGGAGGCCTCCCATCCTCTGGCTGGTGTGGTGTAGCAGGCACCTGGAAACGTAGACTGGCCCCAGAGGAGAGCCAGGAGGGAGGCCTGCACTTGGAAAAAACCCCAGCTGTGATCACGCTCCCTGGCCTCAACCTCTGTGCAGAGACATTTGTCCTGCTGGGGGTGCAGGTCACAGCAGGGCAAGACTCAGGAGTTCAGGTCCCCATGTCCACATCATGCTCCCCTGTCCCACAGCACCCACGTGGTACTCAGTGGGGATCAATGAGCTGGATCAATGAGCTAGATCAATACTGCATCATCTTCAACAATCTCAACACAAAAAAATATCACAACCCCAAAATAGAAAGCATCAGAACAAAGAAATCATGTCAATCCAGCTTCCAATTGACCTCTGGCGCCCCATGTCAACAATCAACAATGCACGTTCCCTCAAAGAACTGTTCTTTTTAACTTCTATGGCTCCTCTCTTTACTTCAAAGGCAGCACCCATATTTTGAACGACAGGCTCCCGTGGTCAGTGAAATGTAGGACAAGGGAATTGGTTTTCGTACACATTCTCCCAACCACCAAACCACCGGGTCTTTGTTAAGGTCAAAATTATCATGAAACATTATTTACACAGTACACAGTGAGCTCAGTTCTGCAGCTGTTTCAAGCACGAGCCACAACGTGAAATTATAAAAAAAAAGATAAGGAGCACTGGTTTTACTCACTGTTCACGTAAACATTAAATGTCACGGAAGAACTGACATCAGAATTGGACACTAGGAACGTGTATGTGCCTCCTTCGGTCCCTTTTAATCTGGTTAGATGAAGGTCACTCACATATCTACAAAGAGACGACAAGAAGCCAATCACTGTGGGCTGCCCGCCTTGAGTAGGTCTTTTTCAGTTTCTATCTGGAAATACATGTCTGTTTAGGGAAAATACAGCTCACTTAATTCAGTATTAGCAAGATCAGCATTAACAAATAGAAACGCACACACATATTTAATTTGGGACAAGTGCCTGTTGTGAGACTAGAGCGGGAAAGCCTTTCTCAGTGTAAAGGCCGCTTCGCAGGCGCTGTAGCCTCTCCCGCCGCCTGGGCTGTCCTCAAGGCCACCTTCTCACCAGTGTCCTGAGCTTACCTGCCCCGCTCTGCTGTAAGGACAGTGGCCTGAAAAAGCCCCCGACTGGCAGCCTGTCTCCATGCAGACACCGCAGGGCCCTCACCTTCCTTCTCGAAACACCACGATCTCCTGGCGTGCCTCCTACCCCACTTCTTCTGAGCGTCTTTTGCAGTATTTACTATTCAAGCTTTCGTTTCACTGTAGGGCTGCCAGATACCTGAGCACATGTGACTTGTGGGAGTCACTGGCATGGGCTCCAGTGTGGATGGGGCACCCTGGGCAGCCCTGGACCCTCACGAGCTACACAACCGACAGGACACATGCAGTGGCGTGTTCAGGCTCCTCTCACACTGCACACGCTCGCAGGGCAGTCCACTCCCGCACTAAGCTACTTGCTGTTTGCTCGCTTTCAAACCCCTATCCCCAGTCCAGACTCCTCTGGCCTATGCCTCCGCTACAGAGCCATTTTTATGCCACCATTCCCGCCGCCTGGGTGCAGCTAATAATGACCCACACTGGCAACCTTCTCCTGCGACTTGCCCTTGGGCGCTTAGACGCACTTGAAAGTTGACTGCCTTCCAGGTCTATAACCCATGAGTGACTGGCCATGGGGAGGAACAGAAGCCCAGCTCCAGAGCACCCTAGGGTCAGGCCAGCTTCACCTCACCTGCATCCCTTCTTTCCTCCTTTCCCCTCTCCACCCTGCTCCCCCACTCCCTGGTGGGTCTCTTACTCCCTTAATGAAGCCCTTGCCCCCAAGAACCCCTGCCTGGGGCTCTGCTTCCAGGGAACCTGACCAAGGATACTTCCCATCTAAATATCACCTCTCGAGATGCCATGGTCAACCTCAAATTCAACACACCCCAAGCCCTTAGCCCCCTCCTCTCCTTGAATGGGATCGTCTCTCACCATCCAACCTGGCTGATGGACCCAAACTCCTAAGGGGCATCTTCAGCTCCTCCCTCTCTCTCCTACCCCCTCAATCACCAAGTCTTGGTAAGATGGTAGCCTGGACACCTCCCAAATCCATTCTCTTCCCTCCAACCCTTAGGCCTTGGCCCAGGACAGTATCATCTCCCACCCACCTTCTTACAATAGCCAACAGCTCCTGACTTGATAAATATACAAACTCTATCTAGGCACTCACCTCTTATTGCCCCTTTGATCTGGGTCAAACTACCTAACTCAGTTTCCTCTTGTATAGAAATGAGGGAAATACAAGTGCCTACTCATAGGGCTTATGAGGGCTAAAATTATTGAGTTAATATATGAAAGGTACTTAGAACAATACAAGGTAGAAAAAGGCCCACGTGGCTTACATAAAGTGTTACTATTGCTACCGTTTTTGTTATAAATGTTTTGAGGATCAAACGAGAGATCTGATATAAAAGAGCTCAGGTTCCCTACCCGGCCCAAAGCTACTCAATGATTCTTAGTTTCTTATAGTTTTAAAAAATGATTAAAGGTGCTAACTTTCCTCTTCCTCTGGAGCGAATTATTTGATGTGTCCCTAGTACATGGAAGTCACTGCTTTGAAGTATCCTCAGAACTCCAGGAAAGAACTATCCTCTATTTTACAAATGAGAAAACTGAGGCGCAGACGTTTTTGTGCGCCCTAAACACACAGCAAAGTTGGGATGAAGACTTCGGGAAGCAGCCCCAAACTTCCTTCTTTGCCATGTGTCCTCTCCAACTTTGATGGGTCACAGAAACAGGATCTGGTAAACCAAGTGGAAGAGGGGCGGAAATCTTTAATCCCCAGAGCAAGGCTCTTTTCTCACCTGATATTACTTTCATTCTCAGACTTGGGATAATTTTCCCATTTATCAGTGATGGTTTTGTTCATGTATATCCACTGTTGGTGTTCAGGTTTCGGGTATGCCTCATATTCAACAGTCAGATCTACGTTTTCTCCATCGTTGACAAATATTGTAGTATTCGCCATAGGCATGATATTAATGAATCCTTTATCTAATCGTGATGAAATAAAACAGCAAGAAACCGTTATCCACAGCTACCCAAAAATACAACTTCATCTTTGGATTACAAACATAGTAGACTGATTTCCAGTATGAATTGGCAATCACAAGAGGATTTAAACTAGCCCCTTGACATTTACTTTGCTCTTGTAGAATCACTGTCATGAAGGGAGAAAGGACACACACTTGAAATGTTTGTTCACCCTTCTCTATCTCTTCAGCAACTCTCTTACTTAAAGGTCTATCACCATCTTTTAACTCTTCTAGAACTACTAGTCTTGATGTTTATTAGGTAAAAAAAGTTTATAAAGGACTAAATAGCCCATACTCAGACTTAATATAAGTGTTTATTTGATAAGAAGGTTGACATAAATTCAGAAGGGACAGAGAGCCTCAATGTTCAATAAAAATGTTGTATTTCAAACAAAATAAACTCAGGTCTTCTCATCATATATTACAGATGAATCAAGGACAGCATTTTAACAATCAAACCATGTTTTTAACTAAACAACAAATGATTCCTATCAAACGTCTATGGGGTTGGGGAAGGGGGAGTTTTCTAGGTTTTTTAGAAGTGACAGAAGAAAAAAAATCATAAAAGACAAATCTGAATACATAAGCATTTTTAAATGTCTAAATAGTAAAATTAATTAAGGTCACAGGAAAAAGAGGGCATAAAAATACAGAAGAAAAACATTTTGTTAAACTAGTACTAAAATAAGGGATCACTTATTAAAAGTAGCAAAACAATACAACTATTTCAAAAATAAAGTATATCCATCCTATTGAAAAATGACAATAAAACTCATTTGAAATAAACTAAATAATTTTGCAAGTGTGGTAAAAGTGGCAGACTGAATGACACACTCTGAATTGACACAACTCTTAGAAAGCATTTAGCAATGTAGATTTTTAAAAATTATTCTTCAATTTAAGCCTGTAATTTCCACTTGAGAACTCTTCTTAGTGAGGTGGATAGCTACATACAAAAGAAGTGCTATTTACGTTAGTTATGATAATTTTAAAAATGAGAAACTGGTTAAATAAAGTAGGCCTTAGATATAATTATATAATAGTATTAAAAGAGCTTGAAAAATAACACAACAAAATAATTGCCATATTATTTTTATAGCCATCATTTATGGAATACTTACTATTCCAAGAAGTGCTCTAAGTACTTTAGCATACATTTAATAATTATAGCAAATATTTAATCTTACAATACTGAAAGAGAAAGCTTATGACCCCTAATTTGTAGATGAAAAAAATCAAGTCCTGGAAAGCCATATAGCTAGCTACCCAATGGGAGAACCTAGATTTGAATACAGGTCTATGAGAAGCTATGACTGAACTCTTCTTACTATAGCATATCCTAGAGTCTCTACTTTAATTTAGAGAGAGATGGAATATGAATGAACTAAAACCCTGTTGCATACAAAAATATAAATATACCAAATCCTTAAGATAATTATATCAAGTCAGTGGAATTATGAAAGAGTTTTAATTTTATTTTCCTGTTTTTTTCAAATTTTAAAAATTAATTATGGGATTTAAAATTATCATTCATTATTTTTGGTGCTATTTGTTTAAATATATTAAAGTCTCACATGATGTTGTCAAAATAGTATTTACTGCCCTTTAGTTTCCTATAGATTTGGAATTAAAAAATAGAGTCCAACTGTTCTATGTACCAAATGAAAAAGAATTTTTTCAGGTGAGAATAGAAAATCATCCAATGAAAACTGTCTATGGAAACTACCACCTTTTCCTAATTCCTGAATCATAAATGATATTTATTCAAGAGGAATAAATATTTCCTCTTGAATGCTACAACAAATTTTCAGGTTTTCAAGGTTATAAATTCAAACCACACAATGCAAAATACTCAAATATTACAGACAACAATATTGCACGAAATTGTTTCTCTCACAATCACCATGTGTGAAATACTTGCAACTCCCCCCAAGTTTTCTACAGTCTGGTTTGCTCAATATAGTTTTATGCCCTACCGTGGAATAGAGCTTCAATTTCATGAAGTGTAAGAATTATTAGAATCAAAGAATTCCACCTGGGCTGATATAACATAAAGTATGATTTTTTCAAGTACATCTGCATTAAGAAACTGATAATATATTAATATTTAATTAAGTGCAAACACTGTGCCAGGTACTTCTATAAAATCTACTGCCTTTTCTCCTTCCCACAGCCTTGGGACTGTGAGGCTGTGTTTCTCAGAAGAGAAAATGCAGGCAGAGGTAAAGTAGGGTATATTCGAAAGTTAAGTGGCAGAGCCCCAACTCAAAACCAGGTCGGGGATCCCAAAGCCCTGTTCTCTCTAATACTCTACATTGTCTCCAAATCCTATTCTACTCTCAGCCCCCGGAGAAATTGCCTTTCTCTTTGTCTCTTCCTGTTCTTGTCCCATCCCAACCCACTCCTGAAACAATGCAAAACCAGATTCAGATTTCTCAGCCACAAGTCTTTCCGGTTATATAGTTATATTCTTGGAAATTGATGAATGGATTTTAAAAATCTGATTACATACAACACTATGTTCAAAACATCCTTACTAATTGCTTTCTGGGGCTGAAGCTGATATATCAACATGCTCCCTAATCAACTTAGCAAATTAGCACTTACTGAGTTTAATATTTTAAAAGCATAGCCTTCTATTCAAATTAATAAATGGCTCACAATCACATTTAGGGACAGAGGAGTACTCTTTCTCTGTGCTGACTCTATGATTACAACTAAAGTGTCTTCTCCATGTTCAGCCTGGTGAGGCCCTTTCAGTTACAACATGGGCAGAAATACCAAAATTATATGAGATTATTGTGGGACAAATCACAGACCTCTAACATTGCTACATAAGTTATTGAAGAAGTATGGGCGGAAAGGAAAGAAATGAAAACAAATATGGCATCACTTTATTATTGCTCATGATGAAGAATTTCTCTACTCCACAAGCACTTCATCAAAGTCACGCACTAAGAATAGAGTTGCATTAAAAAGACAAGAAAATAGATTAAATTCGAATAATACTCAAAAGACAAAAAAATGTGTAAATGAAGTAATTTAAAAATCATTATTACTTTCCATAAATCAAAAACATCAAATACTTCACTACACTCTGCTCTCTTTAAGTAGATGCTTGGAAAATGCACATTTAGTGAGATTTCTAGAGCAGGAAAGAAAAGGCTAGAGCAATGCGTAAGCAGGTATGATGGGGTTAGGGGCACAGGTTACCCTGCTCCGGTTTACGCTCTGTGGAACCAGTGACCCTGCCCCTGCCATCTCGCTGAAGGTTCCTGCTGCAGCCTCTCGGGATGGGGGGTCGGGTGAAACGGGGTGGGGAGACCCCAGTTCATTCCTCCATTCTACAAATGAGCTGGAGCCACGAGTGCTAAAAGAATATACCAAAAGGCTGAGGAGCCCCACCAAAGGATTCAGAGAAATGCTTCGGGCTCTACGCATTTTCACTCCTCAACAGAGAAATTCTACATCCATTTCCAAAGTCAAGTCATTGAGCAAGGACTAGAATTTTTGAAAAAGTTCAACTTCTGCTTTATTTGTTTGGTGGGGATGGGAGGGTGAGTAGCACAGAGAATGAAAGGTTTGAACAGCTTCGGTTATAGCTTTCCACTTCCCTCTGTTAAACAGGTAGAATTTGTTTTTGTGCTCTAGTTGGAAGAGGCTACAGTGATCATTTTCATTCATTCATTCACTCAGTGATGATAAAAATTTCTAAGAATCTGTTCAGCATTCCATTTATATAAAAAGAAAACTAGTAATTTCTTCTTTCGCTACTGCCAGTAAGTTATTCCCATAGATATATTTACCTACTACTTCCAAGGTTGTTGTGACATTTGCTGATCCAAAAGTATTATTGGCGTAACACATGAACACTCCAGAATCATTCACTCTTGCTGAGCTGATAGTCAGCCTTTCCTGACGTACAAAATTGAAGTCACCCTGATGCCAGCTATTACTCTTTACCTGTGCTTTCGTCTGCTGGAGAAAAAAAATCAAAGATTACCATAAACTTTATATGCAGGACCTTTCCTAGATAAATTAAAAATAGCAGCAATTAACTTCTCCATATTAGCATTCATTATACACTACTTAAATAAGAATAATAAAGCATCATGACAAGTCTGTCATTGGAACACTTCATATTACAGGATTATATTGAGAGATAGTCATTATTAATGATTGGGAAAAACATGAAAATTCATTTAAGAACCATAGCATACATAGTTCCAAATCCTCTGCAGTGCTAAATGTTTTTTAACGGTGCCAAATCTTAAAAGTCACTACATAAAAAATATTGCAGAATACTGACATTTTACAATGAGTCAGCATACTTATACCAGTATTTCCTGTTATATATTTTTTTCTATTCTATATTCCAGTGATCGAAACACATTGCTGATAATAATCATGTTCTATTTTATTAACATGTATATTATTTTCATGAATAAAAAGAGAATCACAATGTCTACAACTAACTTGAAAATTATCCCTACAATTTTTACCAAGCAAAATTTTCGCAACTCTCATCAAAGGGGGTTCCAAGGTATATATATAATACACATAAAACCTGAATTATTTAAGCACGAGCTAAAGAGGAAAGGTTGTGAATTTAACCTCATGATATCACCATCCCACTCTTATTATTTGTCTGAAGACAAAATATGGAGAGATTTCTTGTAAGGGAAAAGTCATGGGGGAAAAACTATAATATAAACTATAATGTTCTCCGAACAGATTAAAAGGAGTAGCATATAGCTTTCTGTCTTTTCCAAATTTTCTGAAATGTGACACATTCCTATTACAATGGGGGAAAAAAACACAACGAAAAAAATTAAGTAAATAGGAGCCGATACTGAATGAGATCCAGGGTGATCTGCTGGCCAGGCCATGGTGAACCTATCAGCGTCAGACCATTCTGACAGTCCTGTAAATCAGAACAACCCTCTGGAAAGCAACTTGGCACCCTGTTCATATTCCTGATCACTCCAGCAAATTTATCTCAAGGAAATAACAAAAAACAAAAGCTCTAAGATGTTTACTACAGTGAAAACTCAGAGATGAACTAAATGTCTAACAGGTACCAAGATTATGAATATGTGAATACCTGAAAATGTTTGTATTACTTAAAACACATAAATTGAGTGTAACTTAAAACTGCAACCATGTGATAATACATGTGTGGGGAGAGAAAGAAATATAAAAAATGGCCCAGCTGGCGTGGCTCAGCAGTTGAGCATTCACCTAGGATCCAGGAGGTCACCGGTTCTATTCCCGGTCAGAGGCACATGCCCGGGTTGTGGGCTCGATCCCTAGTAGGGGGAGGGCAGGAGGCAGACGATCACTGACTCTTATCATTGATGTTTCTTTCTCTCCCTCTCCCTTCGTCTCTCTAAAATCAATAAAAGCATAAATAATAATAATAATAATGCTCCTCCCCAAACTCACACCTATATATATATATATTTTTTAAATGCAGGTAATGTAGCATTTTATAAGGACTAGCTATATGGGACTACTAAGCACTTGAAATGAAATAGTCCAAATTGAGTTGTGTCTAAAATATAAAATATGACCCAAATATTGAAGGCTTAATATGAAAAAAATAATGTAAAATATCCCATTAATAATTTTATGTTAATTACACAAAACAATATTTTCAATATAATGGGTAAATAAAATATATTACTAAAATCAATTTTACTTTTTTACTCTTTGTCATGTGCCTCCAAGAAAATTTAAAATTACACAGGAGGCTCACATTATATTTCCACTGCACAGCACTACTATATACAAGGGCAGGATTATATCTATTTCTCTTTCTCACGTTATCACAGTTTTGGAAAGTTTTTTACATTAAAATAAGCACACATAAATGCTGGCTTCCAAAGGTGAATGTTGTGAAATAAAAAGAAACCTTCTTTTTGTTAACTAATTGTGAGGTCCTGGACAAGTCAAGAATACCACCAATCCTATGTTTCTAAGAAGGAATGAGGGAACAAGGGTCTTTAAAGACCTCTGCAATTAGGAGCACTATGTAGATTTAAAAATACTCCCTTCTAAGAGAGTCTTCTAATAATTAATTGGAAGATATCTGCCACTTCACTGCATAAGTTGTTAAGAAGAGGCAATAGTGAGGTGAAGTGACATTTTCTCTAGCCCTTCCCAGTCCATCATGTCACAGACTTGTCCTCTGCAAAGGTAGTGACAATGGACATAACATACCATATTCTAGATTTCAGGTATCTTCCTTGTAGCTTTTGTAAGAGCCCAAGAGTCTACAATAGAGAGCTAAACAGGGACACTGAACAGGTCAGTGCCAGAAGGAATAGCTTGGTCATAAGTGATGCAATACCAACACCTAACCCAAAGAACCATAATTTAGGATGCCATCAAAGACCATAATCAAAAGCAAGTAAAAACAGGATGGTTTATAAGCATCAGAAAATCTAACCAAGACTCACAAGTGTTGAATAAACTCCAGAGTCTCTTACATTTTAAAACAAAACAATTGTAAAAACTCTAAAACAGTTTATCCTAAATTTCATTGTGAGATAAACTTACTCTAAATGGTCAGAATCTAATACTATGGATTTTAAAAATAATTTGATAGTGCTAAGTATTCCAAATTAAGCTGAAGGATATCAATAAAAGATTCACAGATGAACCTTGGCACAGAGCCATGAGCCCCATCTGCAAGTCACACATTACATATTGCTTGCACGTGATTTGGTTTTCCTTAACCCTTGGAGGTACACACTGGGATTTCCCCAAAGAGCTCCCAACACTGCAGGCTTATCTACCAGTGCCAGTGGATTAATTGGGAATGGCATGCGGGGCTCCTGGGAAAAATGGTTCACAACAGAACTGCCTGGGGCAATTTAATTTCTCATCTCAAAAAGGCTAATTTTCGTTATACTGAAGCTCAGATACACACATGGTCTAAACTGTTCTCTCATCTGAAATCAAGAGTTATAGAAAGCCAGTTAATACAAGATTGTGTTCAGTAAGGTTAGTCAAAAGTCCATACACAAGCTATTGTTTTTTATTAAACTATGTGATATGAAAACTAAAACTTATTTCTCTAAGCCACTGGTTTGAAAGGACAAGTCTACAGGATGATCCATTCTTCTAGCCCATGGCAGGCTTCCTTTAGCAAGGTATCATCCATCACAGGTCTTCATGAATACCATCAGGATGCTTTGCATTATGCTAATCACCATGGTTACTTGTTTAGCAAAGAATTCTTCTAAAAGGCATAAAATTGCCGTGGTTGAATATAGGGCATGATGAGGAAGAAGAGAAACAGGGAGAGGAGGAAAATATAGCATTTCTTTTTTCCAATGTAATGCATACACGTGTACTGACGAAAAATCACTGTGACAGCTAATTAACAAGATGGCCAAGATTATTCAAACAAAAATTACTGAAAACTCAGTTCATGAAAATTGTAAACAAAGTGTTAGGGAAATTAGACATTTTAAAGACCTTGCTATTAATATGAATATTCAGAGAGGGGAAAAAAAACCTTCAAATATAACTGACTAAAATTTATTTAAGATATGCCTAACACAGTAATCTGACATATAGTAGACATTCAATATGCATTTGTTAAATGAATGAGAACTTAAACATGTCCAAATGTTTCAGATTAAAGATAACCATTTTATTAATAGCAACTAAAACAAAGAGAAAACCATTAGCAACTCGATCTCAGGTAACCAGCCTCAAAGGAGGAAACTGGATCCATATAAAAAGAAACCCATCTCTCGAATGGATAAGCCATTTTGTTGGGGAGAGAAAAGCATCCTGGTTAATATCTGAGAGCAATTATTCTTTTTAAGTACAGAAGGGAAAAAACTGGCAACTCTTCCCAGTATTTTAAATAATCTGGCCTGAATAGTATCAACAATAGCTTTAAAAAATCAAGGTATTTATGCAATTAACCATTAGGTTATTTTCTTAATTTCCCTACTGAAGTCATTCAAAGAAACAGTCATGAAATAATAGCATAATTCTGAAATTCTCTCAGATTTTCTAAAACAAATTTACAATACATTTACTTGTTACCAATATTAAGTGTACACACCCACATACGGCATTATGAAAGGGGGAAATATGCATCTCCACACACTCCCAGACAGTTTCACCTCAGCCAGACACACCAGCTGAGCCATCCCCCAGGACAATTAATAGGCTTTAAAAAAAAAAGAAAATGAAAATCTCTCGCAAAGAGAGGACACTATATTGAGAAAAATGAAGGAAACAATTCACTCACCTGGCTGTTTTCCTTTATCCACATTGAGTCCACAGAACTAGACACATCTTTTATCAAGCACGTCACTGTAAATTCTTCCCCTTCCCTAAGAAGATAGCTTGTTTTGGACACAGACACAACTGGTACAGCTCTGATGGCTGGAATAAAAAGAGACGTGGCCCTCAAATAATTTGTCCTATCAGAGCATGACATTTTAACTTACCATTTTAACTCAAATGCACATGGCTTATTTTGGCATCTTTTGAGTAATATATGAAGTACAGTACTAACTGATCTGTATTACTTGCATACCTGAAGACATCAGCAATTAAATCATGCATCCTTCAAGTAAATTCATTAATACTGAGTGAAAAAGATAGGAATGTCTGGTCTACTTTGAGATTATAACACTCCTGGACAATGTTATTTCAAAACAGGTAAAGCCCACACATGATGAAACAGCTTGAACCTTCATCTCACACAACCTTGATGGTTTCATGAGGGTGTGACCTACAACTGACTATATTCTTTCAACCAAACAGGCATCTTCCCTATGTGTTGTAAAAATAGTATCTTGCTTGTTTCTGAAAAATCCCAGGTCTTACTTAATAAAAACTATTCAATAGCTGAGTGCCAACTGGTGTTGAAGGAGATGATCTCTGAGATACAAAATCTAGCTATCTTCCTGTTACCAAAATAGTCTACATAATGTCACAATAAGAATGAGGTCCACAGTCAGTTGGTACTTTCCCTTCTCGGCTTATGAATGGTTTGAGACTGTATTAAAATTCAATAGCTGAGGAGAAAGTCGGCTCATATATCAAGAGTAAATGAAGGAGTGAAAAATCTGTATGCTAATCTTTCCAGTGTAACTAAAGCTTCCCAGTGGGTTTCTCTTGGAAGAACACTTCATGCCATTATGAAACTGGTATGTCCTAAAGTCAGTAGGTTTAATGGCTGTCCCCAGTATGGTTTAAATGCCAATCTATGGGAGACACACCCAGCTGAAGGCAGTCATGGGCGGGTCCCACAGGCAATGAAGAATTCACAAGCAGTTGACATTATTTTGAACTCGGGGGAATTGAAGAGCCAGCTGCCTGCCTGCCTCTGCTAAGGTGGACCACTGAGAAGAGAGAAGCTTCTTTGGCTCAAAGGATGCTCTGACTCCCAGAAGAGAGTAATAAAGGCCTGTACCTGCCCTGACTTTCAGGGTGAATTTCTTGGACAGCACCGACTTGCCCTTCTTGGCCGCGGAGCAGTGCAAGCAGAGCCGATGGTACTCGCGCTTCACGTTTCTGATGGTGATGCCGGCCTTGGGATCAGCGACAAACGTCAGGTCCTTGGGAAGAGGTTTCCCTTCGCATCCCGTGAGGGAGTAATTGGTCACCTCCGGGTCAGTGAGAGGACAGCGGACCAGAGCGTCGTTGCCTTCTTTCCCGTACAGTGGAAGGTCCACTAGGAAAAGCTTTGCGGGATCTACAGCATACAGAAATCAGTGGTTTGAATGGCTGGTCACAGGCACTGGACACTTTTAAAAGATCGAAAATGTTACCTTTCATAACAATTCCCAGTGGACCAAATGGCCGCTGGCCTTTTTCTTTAGAGGCAAAAGTAGAATTTATCCAAATAATACTAACAAGTAAGAGTTAATGTTTATCAAACACTTTACACACTTCATGTATTTCATTTAATTCTCACAATACCCCTATGTGATGGGCACTATCATTATCCCACTTTATAGATGAAGAAACTGAAGTCTCAAAAAAGTGATTCTCCTACAATAACATGGCCTAGAAATGGCAAGGCAGAAGCCAAACCCAGCTTTGACTGATACCAAAATGTGTACACTCAAAACTGAGACTACTGTATTATAACCATCACTCTTTTTCTGCAACAGGTAATACTTCAAGGAGCATGAGCCAAGAATAAGCTGTCTGATGACACCTATAGGGTCAGGGGAAGGTATCCTTCCTTTAACCCCCCTGGGTGGGCCCTTTCTAGAATTCCCAGTCTCCAGGATCTTTTGGCTTCTGAAGAGAATCTAGAAAACTATCAGCCGGCCAGACACCCAGTACAAACAACATGTGGGCTTCACTCCATTCAAACACCTTAAAAGTTAAGTTTAAATATAACTTCTAGAAATCAAATAATTTCAAATGCACACGGGGAGTTGATGAGTTTCAGGAATGCTGTGGCAAATACTTTATCTTCTAAACCAGAACTCTTGGGAGTGAAAGGGGGTACAATGGACTGGGAAAGCCCCAGGCAGACTGGGACCCCATATAAGCAAAGGCAAACCTCGTTCTATATACACAATATGCTGCCACCCTTTACTGTGTTCAGATAATACTGATACACGGTTGGGCCAACAGATTACAGTTAAAATTTGTTTTTTAGTTATACTTTCCATCTAGAAATTAGATGTCCCACAGAAATCAATTTAATATCATTGAAATACACTTTCCACCATTTAATTCTGACCAATTTTGAAAGTTTTCCAAAATGAATTATGTACCTCCCAGCCTTACATTTATTCTGTGAATAAATTACTTCATGATGGGTGTGCAACGGTCCAAGGCCAAAGTTGGTTATTTTTCCATCTACCCTTTCTCAGCTGCTTGAGTCTAACTCCTTTAACAATGCCCTGATTTCCTACATTGCTATAACCTAGATTATGAAAGTATCCAAACACCTGAAATCAGTAATAATTAAGTATGGTTCTAAGTTATTAAGGATGACTTCCCCTATAAAGAAAACTTGTCAGAGGGATGGAGAAGGGTGGGTGGGTGGAGGGGGAGAGACTAACCAAAGAATTTATATGCATATATGCACAACCCAAGGACACGGACAATGGTGTGGAGAGGAACTGGGGAGGGGGATGGGACGGGGTGGAATGGGTCATTGGGAAGAAAAAGAGACATTTATAATATTTTAAACAAAAAACAAAAAAAAGAAAAATTGTGAGTTCTGTGAGACTGATTTGACTAATTCCAGCAGTTTTCCCCATTTAGTCAGTTGTCTACCCATCCTATTAATAAGCAGAATGATACTTATTACCACCTGGAGAATACAGAGTACTTCTGTCAAAGAACAGCTCACAGGCTGGCTCAACAATTATGGAACCATGCCCAGGGGCCAGGCTGTGGCCTATTAATGTGCATTTCTTTTCAGCCACCCAACTAGGAAAGGACAACCTACAAACTAAGGCAGAGTCAATTTCATGGCAACCTTTATAGCAAACACGTGCATTAACCTTATTAACCCTGACAAAGCTAGAATATGCATGATTCTGTTTCCCTAATGACAACTAAGTAAAGAAGAAAGAGCAGGTGATCTTATCAAATGTTGCAGGGAGGAACTGAGACTCCTGAGGTTGCTCAGGTCTACAGTTTGGGGTACATGTATTCCTTAAGTCTTCTGCAATACCATGGATGAGGCCTCCTACTCAGGCCTATTTCAGTGATAGCCCCAGTGATGCCTGTTCTGTATATAAGCCCAGGACTAGAAGTGGGCCTGTACTTCTCTTTATAACTGGCTGTGTCTCTTAAGCTTCAAATGCTTCAGTTTTTACATTGACAAAAAGGTACTCCTCTCCTTGCCACCTCCCTCCCACCCCCAGAAAACCTCCTCTTGACAAAGATATTAAAAGCACAAACATAGATGAATCACTGAATTCATCACAGGAAATGAGTAATAGAAATCCAACTATCATATTTTTCTTGTTTCTAGGGGGTCACAATTTTTTAAACGAATCAACTGACATCTATTAAGAACCTCTGCAGGACATGGGGTACTTTGCTGACTGAGTTATTTTTCTGAGTTTATTCCCTAAAAGTGGGTCAGTTCTCTGGAAGTGTTGGTCTTATTGAGGCCTTTAGAGACCTTTAGTTCCCTGAAGCGTTTTTTACTAAGTGGGAGTATCTGAGATCTCAAGGCATTAAAACACAGCCTTCCCAAAGGGCCTAATTTATTCTCAGGGTTAACGCAGAGCACCAGGACAAATGGGCTGACCATACTGTAATCGCATTAGGAAGAGTGTCACAGCCTTGCAGATCTTCTGCTGGAATCATACCTAAAGCCACTATGTATCAAAAGATGGAGAAACTAACCAAGAAAAAATTGTTTTAGGCTTTCTAGATCCAGCCAGTAATATTTTATCTATGGTTTAGTCATCTATATGTCATCCCTAATTAAGAACAGGATATTAAGTTCTCTGAAGCACAGCATCAAAGAAAGCTGAGCATTTACCTCTAACAAACACATAAATGGAAGTGCTCAGGCCGCCCTCATTGGTGCATGTGTAATTGCCTGTATTGCTGGCCTCTGCTTTCTCCATGATCCATTCACTGTTAGTTTTCTCACTCAGTTGACCCAGGGTCTCAAAAGTCCATTTGACAAATCTTGGATCGGAGCATAACAGCCTAATCTCATCGCCAACGCTGACTATTAACTCTGATTTTGCTGGCTGGATGGACGGTGGAGACAGTTCTGCTGGACTCACAGATGGTTGAGAAGAGCCTGCCAAGAAAAATGAGAATCGTGTTGAGTATGATCTTTTTACTTGGTGAAATAAAGCATTTCTTCCAATATTGATTTCCATCTTCTGTGTACAATAAAAATAGGACAAAGCTGCCCTGCTATTTATAGTCAGAAAGAGTTCTGTTTAAAGTTTCTTAAGTTCATCTAGAAAACTAAGTTATTTTCTGCAACCCTCAATTAATCCTGAGGGCTACACTTGGTGTTACAAGCCAAGACTTGCTGGATGCCATGGCCTTCTCTGGGTTAAACATACAGCTGGGTCAAGTTTCCTTTTTGAATATGGGCCATTGCGATGATACTAACATGCTGACACCCGGCTTAAAAACAACAAAAACAAAATCCCACAAGATAAAAAAAAACAACCACTGGCCTGTCATTCTTTTGGCAAAATGCACATGACCGTGACATAGCTTGGCTTTTTCTTAAAGCTTTGTGAATTCAGTTATTTCTATGTAGTTTTCCTTATATGGCGACATTCATCAAAAGGAGAAATATTTTTCAATGTTTCAAACAATAAGGCAGAAAATAAAAGTCCCATTTTGAAGATCAGACCGCAAGATATTTCATGGCAAATGCTGGTTTGCAGCCTGATCAATTTAATACCCAGATAAGTTTCCTAGGTAGGAAACTAATTTAAAGATGGAAACTTCAGACTCTGAATATAAAATTTGAACCTTAGAAAATTCACAGCAGCCAATTCACTCATTCATTCATGCATCTGTTGCATGAATGCAAACATCTGTTCATTAATATGATCTTATGATCTGCAGATGCATTGTCCAAGGTGCTGGGAGAAAGTCCATGTAAGTGTGAAATGTGATCCCTACATGTGGGTTTTTCTCCAGAGCTTCAACACACTATTTGAATGTCAGAATAAGTGAAAAACACAGCTATAAGATTTGGGTTTAAGCTGGAGAAAAAGCAAAAGATGGTCTGGACCTTGATGATATCAAGAAGAGGTAAAGAGAACACAGCATGAGAAAAGGGCTAGTTTCTTTAGAGCTATAAAGAGACCAGCCTGGATGGAAATGGGGCTCTTTGTGGAGACCATGTGCAGTAAGCCTAAGCAGGCTACCTAGGATGGAACAGATGATCCAGAGCCCTGAACATCTGGCATAAATATGTGGAAGGTACCACAGAGACCATGTAGAGTCACCACAGGTATCTCAGTAGATAAATGACATGCACAGTGAGATACCAAACATCACCTAGATTCAGGATCAGTGAAAAGCTCTGGTACTCAGGGAGGCAAAAGCAGTAAGGATTTGAGACTAAAGAGGAAGATGAAATATACTCTCAGAGGAAGAACACATTAATGGTTATAAGTCATAGCAATTAAAAATATAAAAGGTTGAATCATGGGTGGCCTGGATGAGGGTGAGAGAAGAAAAGGTCCTTGGGTGTGGTTTGCTGGAGCAAGAGGAAAACAGAACATGGGGGGGGGGG